GAATTACTAAACTAACACATTGACAGACAAATTTCTTGATATTTATTTTTTGATGTGCACGAGATCGGTATACAAAAGCACATCATACTAAAACTTAAAAGGAATACTAACTTCTCATTCATTGTACTGTTTCCATTTTCTTCCTCTAGCAACTTGCTAGGGATGGACCTCTTTTAATCAATTTAGTGGTTTCCAAAAAAAAAATAAAAAATACTAACACAAGCGAGTGAAGCAACGACCAAATGTCCAAAAATTCAACTTATATTCACGTATAGTACATATTAGTTAAAATTTTTGGTATATACCAAATACCAATATATATATACCAACCAAATTTGTTGGTAGGCAAATTAATTGGTACAAAGTACACTGGTACGGTACTGGTCGCTAAAATCTGATACCAACTATAGTTGGTACGGTACACGGTTTGTAGAAAAAAAAAGTCGGTACCGTACCAATTCCACCCCTACAAGCAAGGGTATTTTAAGTTTTTAACCATCCGGTCGCAACCCCCAAAATGTCTAAAAAAAGGTTATTTTCGTCATTTTGAAAGACAACCGGTGATCTCGACATGTAACAAAGTTGGAGCCACAACAATACAAAAGAACCCCACACAAATCTTCTAATTGGACACATAGGAGGGTATTTTAGTCATTTTCTTATCCATTGTATGAAAGAATCATTAAACAAAGTTAAGCAAATAAACCGGAAATGGTCAACTACTTTTTCTGAGAAGTCGTCAATTGGGTTCATAAACACCAAATCCAAAAACACAATAAGCAGAAAGTGAACTCGTCAAATCCAAATCCATCATACAACTAAACTGTCAATGCGTTATGTACAAGACGATAAAACACAACTACTTCACCCAACCCTTCTTTACCTTCTTCCTCAAAACCTCCTTTCTCAAATCTTTCCAAATTCATGGCTGCAAAATTCCAATTTCTGCCATTGCACTTGCAAACCTCGTTACTATTACTTTTCTTGTTTTCAAATCTTTTATCGGCTTCTCAATCTACTCCTCAAAACATCCAAGTCTACTTTCCGATACCAACTCCACCACCACCACCACCACCACTGTCGCAAACAACACCGCCACCGGAAACCACCATCTCCACCGCATCAAGATCATCCAATAAACCCATTGCGAAAGCAGTTGTCATCACTGCATCATGTACTCTGGTTTTATCAGGGCTGTTGTTCTTATTGCTCTTGAAGCTTAAACTCCGTTCGAAGAAAGAAACCACGAATTTATACGCTGATAGCCGGATTAATTACAGTAATGACGATCTGGGTATGCAGAAAAATGATGAATTTATGAGTTTTGGAGCGATCAAAAAGGTGATTGTTGACGATGATCATGAACAAGGACTTGACGTGATTTACTTGAAAATGGTTCATGATAATGGCGGAAGAAAGTCAAAGTTTGACTGTCCTATTCAAGAAATCCATTTCATCAGAGAAAAATCCTCCGGTTCTCGTATTTGGCGATTAGAAGATCATAATTCTGATTCTGTTCAAGTTATTGATGTTATCGAGGATGTGAGAAATCAAGAAACGATGGAAAGTCAACTATTGTTGCAATCACCGCCGCTACCACCGCCTAATGCGGCGGTTCCACCCCCTCCACCACCGGTGTTGGAAAAGAAGAGTAGTGCGCCACTACCACCGATTCTGCCTAAAAGTGGTGGTTTGACTTTGTTGTCACAACGACCACCACCACTTCCAAAGGGTAATATGTCTTTATCTAATGACAATAAGGTCAAACTTAAGCCTTTACATTGGGATAAAGTCAACGCTAATGTAGAGCATGACATGGTGTGGCACAAACTACGCAATGGTTCTTTCAGGTAAAAATGTTATTGTTTAATTTTCTTTTATTCAAACTTAAGCCTTTACTAAAATAATTATACAATCATTTCAAAGAACGTAAAAAAATTCTTTATCACAACTTGTATAATGGTTGTAGATTATAAATGTGCTTTTGACATTAAGTTTGTCAGATTTGTCTTTATGACAATTTATCGGTTTTGTTCTTAGACCGGAGGGTGTGGAAGGATGTTTCCCTCACTTTTTGTGGGTCACACTATTTTTTCTTTCACTTTTTTTCCCTCACCTAAAACCCAAGGAATGGGTGGGAAGTTTCCCTCACTATTTTTTTATATTTTTTTAAAAATATATTTCATACATATATTATACTCATTTTGTAGGGAATTAAAAACCATAAATTTTAATATATATTTTATATTTTTTTTTGATAGGTATATAATTTTATAAATATTAAAAAGGATAAAAAGAAAAAAGAAAAAAAAATTGTCCAATAGCATGAAGAGAGAGAGTGCGGCACTCCCTCCCCCCACCTCTTTCCCGCGGGATGTTTCCCTCACCCAAGGAGTGGTGTTCAAGAGTGAGGGAAGCTTCCCTCACCCCTTTCCCGCTTCCACTCCGTCCAGCCTTAACGAATAAAAAATGTCACAAGGACAAACCGAAAAAATTTAACAAATTTAAAGACTTTGATATAAAAGCTTTTACAAATAACATACTTTTTCATCGGAATCGATGATAAGTTATGTAAAAAGTAAAAATAAGATTTTCTTTTTAGAGATTCTTTAAATATGTCATGTAAATTACTATATAATAATTATATAAAATTCTTATTTAAGTATGAATATAATAATATTTTTTGTACGATACGATAGGATAAAAAAATTATTCGAATTAAAACTTACATAAAATAAAATGTCGATCGAAATGGTACCCATAATGCATTGAATTATATAAAATATAAAGAAATATTATAATTGTTTATTTCCTAAGATCCATTGAACTCGGGCAAAAATTCAATGGAACATATTTTAACAAGCAAAATTAAGTACATAGTTTCTCAAATTTGTATGCAATCCATAACTTTTTTTTTTTTTTTTTATAAAGATGGTCTTTGAATAATTAGTCATTGACCCATATAAAATGACTTTTAAACATATTTCTTTACAGTAGGCCTTATACTTGGATTAGGTTTGGGTTGGTGGGTCATGCATTGGTGGGTTGAAATACATTGATCCAATCCAACCCATATAATATATGAGTTGGTGGGTTGGCGGGTTGAAAACATCAACTCAATGCAACTCACATAACCTGTTTAAGTAGATGGGCTCACGTGTTAGTTAGTCGATTTCAGGTCAAAGAGTCGACAGGTTATTTTCGAGAAACTTTTCAAATGTTAAATTTATACGAATTATACACTTCTATAAACTAATTAATAATTAGTATTTTACATTGATTAGAACGAAATGAACAATCAAATACATGCACACCTCACCTCTCATGTCTGGAACTCTGGATCGAGAATTGGATTTTAGGATAGGAGTGTTAGCACTTAGTCACTTAGGGCACGTCGTATATTAACTATATTTCATTAATCCATAAATAAAATTCTATTATATATATATATATATATATATATATATAT